TGCTTGTGATTCTATTATTATTGGTATTGTCCCTATTTGATTTTTTTTTTCTTCTGTTATTAACTCGAGTCTATGGTTTACTTGGATAAGAAGCTGTGACAGAGGAAAAATAAGGACTGGATAAGATGTTGTGATGAAGGAAAAGAAGAATCGACCACAAAATAAGAAAGCAGAACGCTTTTGCAGACTCGAACAAGAGAAACTAATGGCTAACGTCGGGAGGCTGAAATTTGCTTTTGAAAGCATACGGTTCAGTCCAAATTGCAGGCAGCTCTGCTCCTTGTCAACTGACGAGGGCTTCCTTTCCAATGATTATTGTTGAGGAATAAGAGTTGAGGAGCGTACGCCATGAGCCCAACTACATTCAGCCCAAGGGCCGAGTTGGGAGTCACTTGGTAGGACAAAGAACTATCCTTCCCATCAAACCAAAGCCTTCAATCGACAAAAATAGAAGCAGAAAAACCATTGAAACCCGAACAAAGATCCTAGTTTTGGACCAATTTAAAAAAAGTACGGTTGTGTTTGGATTACAGTTTTACGGAGTTTTTTTTATAGAAAATGTACTATAACGACTTGATATAATTAAGAAATATAATCACAAAAACGTAGAGATTTTTTTATCAAATAATCCCTTTTCAAAATCTCAGAACCCTCCCAGTTTAACTTCAAACCCATCTACCCAAAAAAAAAAAAAAAAAAAAATCCCCCATCTTTCATTCGCTTAAAAAACAGGTTTATTATTTTTTATTTTGCCCCTTTCTGTTGAAAAATTCAAGTAACTCCATCGTTCATAGGCACGTGTTGATCGCGCGAGGGAATCAGGTTCACCGAACGCAGTCGCATTCGAAAAATTTGTTTCCTTTTGTGCGACTTTGTTGTAGAAATAATTATAGATCGCTCATAATGTCTAATGGTAATGGTTAGACACAGGAATAGAGGAGACAAAGTATCGGCAGCAAGAGGGACATAACTGTATCTATCGTCCATGGATATAGGATTCTGTCGACGGCTTGCTTTTTTGGTCTGTCCTGATTCATGGTATGATAACTGGATTCCTTCGGTATCTCCTATAATTTATTTAAATTTAAAAAAAAAAAAACAGCCAAACAATTGTGCCAATAATTGTTTGTGTCTTCGAGGATCTTGATATATTATGTACCCGACTATTAATCGTGTGGCTTGGTCGCACTGTCTTGATCTGATATACATAACAAGGTTCAAGGTTGACATCTCATAATCCAAAGAAAATTTGTTACGTTTTCTACGAATATATTTTTCAATCACCTTTTTACCTCACATATATCAAATCGTTACAATAATTTTTCTACAAAAAAAAATCTAAAAAAATACAATCCAAACACAGCCTTTATCATTAACATTTCGTGTTAAATAATTTCGATTTTGAAAAAGAAAATAAATGAGAACTTTTCAACAAATACAAAAATCAGAATTTGGTGCTCTAAATAAGCAAAGAATCAAGATTTCTATTCTACGCCATTTCTCATCTTAGAAACATCATATCTTGTTTGGATTGCATTTTTCTGAATTTTTTTTTATAAAAAAATTACTGTAACGATTTGATAAATGTGAGATAAAAAGGTGATTAAAAAATTACTGTACAAACACCATCCTTCATTGCTTTGTACTCCGCGTCTTATTCTCGTTTGGCTTTTGCATTATCTGAAAAAACAAATAGGAGTGCATACTTAACTGTGGAAAAACATTCATTAAGGGGGGAAATGTTAGCCGGTAGCGGACTCGCAAAACAGTGGAAGACATAATCTAGGCGCCCGGTAAGCCTAAGGAGATCAACCAAGGGATCAGAGCAGATCAAAGACCCCTTTAGCGGTATGAGGAATGGTGCCGGAGGCCCTAAACTTTAGCGGTATCCGATGCGTTGGTTGGTGCATGAATGACTGCTGGTTTCAATACTGTAAGCCTTTGTCCCTAATCATTTGCCAGATGAATAGCTTGTCTTAGGGTTAACCCCCCATTGAACCGAATCTCCTTTGGGATATTTGTGTTCAGCTTTCTGCTGTTCTTCAAACATCACCATGTAAATGTATCAGAACATGGAGAACCGAGCCACCTCCCATTGGATGAAGGGCCAATCTTCAGTCAGCATAATCGAGTCTTTTTTCCTTGTTTTTTGCCCTTTTCTTTCCCCTTGCAAGAGGCATTGCCCGGTGACTTAGGAATGGCAAGACACCCGCTCCCCCAGCCCAGCTTGCATCCGCGGGGAAAAGAAGTGCATTATTATTTAAAGATATATAATTAGCAAAAAGCGTAATTAATATTTTAATATAAATGTACTAATCAATAATTTGTATTAATATAAATAAATAATTATTCACAGAATTAACAATATTAATTATATTACATATACATAATAGAGGAAAAAATCTGGGGAGCCCTTAAACTATTATCGTTGTTAACTTTTGGCCCCTCATCTAAAATTTGTTTCCGATTGATCCTTAAACAATTAAAAATGCATACTTTGAAGACTTCCGATGACTTTGAGCACAAATCTGACCGGAATTAAAGGAGAATTGAAGATGAAAAGAAACCTCTCCTCTCTCGCCATCAAATCGTCCTCCCCGTCACAATCGATCTCTTATGTTCTCTTCTCTCTGTGAAGAGAAAAATTTTAAAAATTAAGAACCAATCTGTTCCCTCGATTTTGCTCAAATTATTCACCAATAAAGTTTATCTTTTGGCCCAAAAATCAGGCTGAAAGTTGATAAAAATGGCGTCTTCATCAGCAACAGCAGCAACCCAATTTTAGAACCCATTTTTGCATTATAAAACTCCATTTTTATAAACCTCAATTCTACAGGTCTTTGAGTGTAGTGAATGAAAAGGTTGTTGGGATTGATTTGAGGACAACGAATTCAGCAGTGGCTGCCATGGAAGGAGGGAAGCCTACTATAGTTACTAATGTTGAAGGGCAAAGAACGATGCCTTCTGTGGTGGCCTATACCAAAAACGGGGATAGATGGGCAGATTGCAAAAACGGGGATAGATTCTTCCGCAATTTTCGATGAATTTAAGCACAAATCTGCAAAACATAAACAGACAAAAATGACCTTTAATTCCTAGCTGCCTACATAAGTTTTCCATTGCACAAAAAATCAAATGGTTCCTTGAAGCATCACCCTTCTCATATCAACCATCTGTTCTTCCACTACATGACCGGTCAATAACATGGGATTTTCTGCCAACATATGCAGCAATGCCGGCTTCTTCTCCATCAATGATACAGATACGTGGATTTCCCTGAACTGTTGTACATGCATGTGGGCTTTGTGGCATGAGAGATGACATTTTTGTCGTCAAAAAAAAATTTTTTTTTTTTTTGCTCTGTTACGTCTAGAAGATTAAGAAAAATGAAAGTAACTTATTAACCAAAGATTCGCAATTTTTGGGATTCATCAACTCATTGAAATGTTTTGATGAGGAATACTTCCTTAAGAGATTTTTTTATCGTTCAATTATTGCTTATTATAACTAGATCAATTCATTTCAACGGCTTTAAGATGCTTTTTTATTTTGTCCCGCAAGGGATATATCAATTCTTACCAGACAATCTGACCTCATTAGGTTTGTGCATTTTTTGGTGCAAATATCAGGATGTATGGTTCAAAGTTACTGAGCAAACATTGAGTGTGTTTGGATTGTAAGTTATTTGAAATATTTTTACTGTAACACTTTTTGTGATGTGATGTATGTGAGATAAAAAGGTAATTGGGAAGATAAAAAGGTGTATTGGAAATTGTAATGGTGATGTCAGCAAATATATTTGGCCAAATAATTGGCTGTCCAAACACACTCATTTTTTATCAAGGAAACCTCATGTTTTTTTAATGTTCTAGCTTTATAGATACTTGGATTTAGAGAAACTACCACAGATTCTGTAATCTTCAATTTGATGTAATAGTATTCATAGTTATATTTATATTGCATAGTTATATTTATTGTTTTTTGCACAAGTGACATATTAGAACGTCTTCTTATTCTTATAATGTGTAATTGATTTGTGTTGTTATAAGATCTTTAATCAAATATTTTATGCCTTAAATTTTTATTATAACTATACTGCATATTTATGAAATAGACATACTTTTATAATTTAAAAAATTAATATTTGATATTTTAAAATATCATATATTTAAATGGATGAAAATTATTTTGAACATAACATATTAAAATAATTTTGTTAGAAAAAATTTTGGACTCTCCAAGGAAAAAATCGTGGGTCGGGCATCGTCTCCATCGATCCCCTATCAGTTGCAGCATCTGGATTCATAGAAATGCATCACAGGAGTGCAGTCCACAACGTCAGCCGGCATTCTAATTGAAAACATTTGCCCGTCGAAATGCATTCCTTGCACGAGCAGCAAGTAGTAAATGTGGGGCACGAAAGTACCCAGTCATCATTTTTAAAACTTGGCTTGCATCCGATGTTGAGAAATATTACAGAAGAAGAAATTAAAAAAAAAAAAAAAAACTTACACAGGAAGAGGAAAAGGTGTTTTAAGAGTGAATAAAATGAAAGCGTGAAGTTATATCACCATTCCATTCCATTCCATGATGGCAGATGGAAGTAGTAAAATGATGTCCTTCGAAAACAAGCGTCTGAATTTAGCTTTACACCGAAGACGTTTCCAGTTTCTATTTACGGACATCAGTAGTGGCTTCGCTTTACACAATGGTCAAGAGTCAAGACAAGCCCCCAATAAATATAACCCAAAAAAAAAAAAAGAGAAAAAGAACTCGGCACTTCAGCAACTACTCACTCACTACAGTACTGGTGGAGTAAAAACTTTTTACTGTGCAATGTACTTACTGGGGATACACACAGTGCCCACACCGCGACCCCCGTTCCCCTCCCAATATCCTCTCATTTCATTTCATTGGCTAATGCTTGCGTCAATTGAACGTCACGTCGGACCTCCTCAACTTGCATGGCAATTTTCTCTTCTTTTTTTGTTCTTTCTTTCTTTTAGCAATTAGCAATCGTCACATTTTCCCGCTATTTCTCGCCTTCTTTCAAAATACTTGCTACTACCATTCTAGTAGCAGTACCACCCCATTCCGCTTTACTTGCTCACAAGAAAGAGACTAGGAGTACTGTAGTAGTATATCCGAAATGCTGCTGCACCACCTGTTCCGTTGTTCACTGGATAAATTCGTTGATTTCCCCTGACATAAGCGCAATTCACCCCGAACATTCTGCCACCCAAAAAAATAATAAATAAATTATATACAGTACTAGTATCTTTTTTTTTTCTGGGGAGTCACGTTGAATTTTTTCTTTGTTTTTTTTTTTTTTGGGGTACCTTTAGCTGGTGAGTTGTACGATCTCTTGCAATGAAGAATAGCACTTTGGATTCCGTCATTGTGCAGCAACAGCGAATCATCTCTCCTGTTGGCCGGCGACGCCGTCATGCCTGCCGTCGACGACGCAGCCGATCGACTCCTCCCCAGGTGCTTGCTCACTGCTCTAAAGCCTCCTCCGCCGCGATCTACCCCTCGCCTCGATTCCCCCGCAGGAGATGACATCGGAGAAACCCTCGATGACTGATGTTCCCAAGGGAACCTCATTTTGTCGCTGTACCGCTTCGAAGCTCTGATGTACAGCGGCCTGATCAGCTTCAAGTACATTGGGACGTCTTTGGGCATCGGCTTGGAGGAGTCGTCTATGGAAAAATCAAAGGTGCGCTCCCGCTGCAACTTACTTCTCAAGCTGTTGTCTCGGGAGAACAATGATCCGATCGGAACTTGTTCTACTTTGTACTTGACGGCGGCCAAACGCTTGCTCTCTCGATTAGTATTCTGTGCTGGTTTATGGAACTGACGACGTTTGGGTTCCGAAGAAGCTGGGTTAGATTGGGGCTCGTCTGATTTAGACTTCCTAAAGCCTAGCAACAAGACTCTGAACTTGGGTGCGGATTTCAGCAATGAGATTGGAGAGTGAGGCTTGGAGTTGGGGTCGACTACGTCCACTGGAAAGACTTTCGACTTCAGGGGAGACTCCAGCTCTATTAAGCTGTGAATGCTGCCCTCGCGGCGGTCGCCTTTGGAAGAATCGTGGGGGAGAATGCAGTTAGCGTCGTTTGCTATTATTGCTTGCTTATTGTAGCAATCGGGAGCTGTGAAGACCAAATCGAAGAAAGAATCTGATTGTGAATCTCGGTCGTCGTTGTCGCTGATGTCGTCGTACTCGTCGCTCTCTTCCTGATCATCAGTCTCGGGGGCACGATTCCGGACGTCCACGTTAGTCTTCTTGTTGCTGCTCAAGGAATCGACGTCGGAGTTGGGGTCAGTCCCGGCGCTACGCCGGAACTTGAGTAAGCTAAACGGTTCCATGGTCGAAGGATAAGGACAGCACAACGATGGTCACTACTACTTGGGTGGTAGTTTTTAGTCTGTTGAGAATTCTTGCGGGGGGACGGAACTTCTTTCCATTATATATACTAACTTAACTAATACTAGTAGTAGGGAAGTAAAGAGAGAGAGGGAAATTGATTTCGTGAGGGACATAATTGCAGCTGGAATGGAGGAGTGGAAAGGGGCGACTCAGTCTACTTTAATTGCCTTAGGCTCTGACAAAATTAAAAATAGAGCGGGCAGCGGGCAGTGGGCAGTCGTGGTTGGTGTTTCGTGAAAGCAGAGAGAATTTTTTTTTTGTTCTCTCTCTCTCTCTCTCAGGAACGGAGAGAGAACAGAAAAGGGTCTTTCATGCTACTATAATTGGCGCAACGGATTTTCTGTCTCACTCTGTGTCATTTTTTATCTTATTTTTTATTATATTATTATTTTTCCTTCATAAATATTATATTTTAATTTTTTTTATTTTCTTAAGATTCAATAAATATTAATTCAGTAAAAAATAAATACAATAGTTTCAAAAAAATAATATATAATAGAAAATTAAAAAATACAGCAGAAAATGCATAAAAGATTTCATTTTTTATGCATTTTGATTTTTTGAGTTTGTTAAATTTTGTGTATTATGGAATTAATAGTTATTGGATCTTAAGAAAACAAAAAAGAACTAAAACATGATGTTTATGAAGAAAAAATAGCAATATACTCCCTCCCTTTTTTTATAACTGACGTTTAAGGTTTTGCACACCAATTAAGAAAAGTTTTTCATTGTTTAAATCTATACACTACTTTCCTTTTGTACCCTCATTAATTGTCCAATTCACTCATGTTTTCTCTCACTAGAGTATTAAATGACGCTGTTTTACTAGACAAAAAACAATGCAAACTAACTCCCACCAATTATGAAAAGAGAGATAAAGGGGTAAAATTATGAAAAAATAATTAATGCTGCATGGGGATAATAAAACGACAGATAAAAGTACTTAAGAGTAAATTTCTTAAACGTCAGTTATAAAAAAAGGAAGGAAGTAATAAAAAGTGGGACAGAGAATGACACAGAATATGAATATGGGACAGAAGATTCGTTGTGTGTAACCGGTGCTGAGATGAATGGAGAGATTTTTTTTTTTACAAAAATATCTTGGGGATTGGGCTGAGGTAAAGGACTATCATGTGAGACGCAGGAGGAAAGGAAAGTTGATAATAGAGAGAGTGTAGCATCCGTAAGGAAGGAGGGGAGTACTGCAACTGCAAATGATACTGAGGCAGGAATAATAGGTTCAGAGGCAGAGGGAGGGTTACGTTGCAAATGGTACAAAATACAGACTGACCACTGCTGCACAGGCTCTCTCACACTTTTGATTTGAATTGGGGCCGGCCTCACACCGCTCAAACGCCCCTTGCACTCACTTTTCCTGCTTGTCCAAGCTAACTCTTTTTTTTTTTTTTTACTTTTTCTGGGGCAAATCAATTCTTGGTTACGTCTAAATAATAAGCGAGTTGGTTACTTCCTAAGCGACTTGGCTACTAGCAAAGTACAATTGTGCAAGTTTAGTTGCAAGTCAAGAGTCCAAAGAATGTGCACTTGTATAGTTTAGAGCTAAGATTCTGTTCCTTTAGACCAGTTGGGCCTTATCTTCATATAAGTTGCGGTGAGAGAGTAAGAGTAAAAATTGATGATTAATTAAAAAAAAATACTCTAGAGAGGAAAAAAAATACTCTTATGTTAATACTCCCAACTGTAAATGCTCAATGTTTTATCATTATATATATATATATTTTTTTTTTTTGAAAATATTATTTACGCTTCCATTTTTTATTATTCACACTCCCACTATTATTACAATCATATAATTTTTATTTATTAGATTATTTGATAAAATATATAATGAGAATGCAAATAACCAAAAAAATTGGATTGGAGTGCAATTTCTCCTTTTCCCCCCCTACTATCATCGTGTTGTGTTATTTGGTCTTGCTTTTAAAAATCATTCATGGCCGATGATCATTAAAGTAAAGAAACTACGACGACTGCCCTTGCCCGTCGTCCGACTGCTTCCAAGACCCTCTCCTCTCCATTTTGCTGATCTTTCTCCCGAGACGAAGGCCTTGCTTGGATTGAAGGTTTTCGTCGGAAAATATTATCGTTTTTCGTGATCACATTTTCCTATCACTTTTTTCCCTCACATATATCAAATCGCTACAGTAATTTTTCCATAAAAAATGACGAAAAATGCAATCCAAACACAACCGAAGATTGTCTTCTAGTTCTAGCTATCATCACTTTAGCAATAAATTACCAAAAGCAACAGAAGAACATATACTAGTTATGATGGTTAAAAGTTCATAAATGACCATAAAAATCTCACAAACAAATTTCTTCCCTTTTTTTAAGGGGGGTACGACCTAATAAATCAGTTCATTCGTTAAGATTCTGAAGAAAGAGTGCCATAAATAATAATCTTATCAAGTTCACTTGATTTCTTTAAAGTAATTAATACTACTGACTATCAATTGCAGAAATGACAACCAAGGGCATAATAATAATAATACATGTTATTGAGCTAAAATACCTTTTTTTTTAAAAAAAAAAAAAATTTTCTTTGTGGGTAACTGAGCTAAAATACTTCAAAACGACGTGTAATTATGCATAGAATACGTCGAAAGAGAACCATCAATCGCGCAATGGGTCCTAAGCCAATCCATGAAGGATTTGCTGGGCGTACTTGAAGGGCGACGAGAAACTTCCAAAAAGAAAAGACTTGGAAAGATGAACATGCGAGGCCTTTCGTTTTCTTTTGAGACGGGGGGAGGAGGTCAAGTCTTTGTTATGAGAGGGGGAATGTTTGCTTTTTTCCAGCCTTTGCTAATAAGTCTGCCGAGTCAGGCATCGGGTTCTTTTCAAAACGCTGTCATTGGTTGCAGATGTGGGCACGCTTCTTCTTCTTCTTCTTGGGACCGACTCTTTTGCGTTTTTTAAAGGAGTTCAGAGTCTTCAGACTTGAGAGCCTTCAGACACATTCCATTCGAAGCCTTAAAGGTTTGACTTGCAGGTTTCAACGGACCTGATTTGATAATCAAAAATTACTTGCAGTGTCTTCTTGAAATCCAAAAAGCTTTTCAAAAAGAGAAAAATATATATCAAAAGAGTAATTTTATGCAACTCCTGTATAATAAAGTCCCAGACAGACAGCGCCAGAGAAGCAAAAGGAGAAAAAAAGAAATAAAGTCGCGCTGGGAAGGAGATCCTACCTTGCTAACGCCTAATCCCCCCGCCAGGGGGGAGAAGGTCATCTTCCTTTGAATCTACCACTGCTTACTTTGTGTTGTGACTGCCTCTAGCTGCTGCCATACGTAAACCACAGTAATTACAGAATACAGACCTTATTTATTTACTACTGTCACCTTTGTGCTTGCGTGTGCCAGATTTTAAAGCGTGTCTTAAAGATAATAGAGAGTCTCAAAACCAGGAACGGAATATATAATTATAGCCCTTGACCATCAATACAGTAGTTTAAAATTTAAAGCAATGGGAAAAAAAAGTAGGTTGTCAAGTACGTGAAAGAAAGAGATAATTGAACAAAGTTCTTTAGCAAAAATGTATATATATTTCAAAAATTTCCAAAAAATGACCGGTCAAAGCAAACTTCCTTGCTCAATTCAACTTTTCACATGTCTTCACAATACTACTATTTAGTTGATGGGGAAATTAATCAGGTGATTACGAGATTCTTTAGTTGATTTTAAAACTCTCCATATTTCGGTCCTGTTTGGATTTTTATTTTTAGGATTTTTTTGCAAGAAAATATACTGTAGCGATTTAATATATATATGTGAGATAAAAAATTGATTGAAAAATGTGTTAACGAAAAACGTAACAAATTTTGTTTTTTGAAAAATTGCTTTCCACCCATGTAAGGTTTGGAGTTTTACTACCTTAAACAAAGAGAGGTTGGAACTGGGAACTTGAAAGAGGAGAGGGGGGGGGGGTAGCTTTAGCCATTTTGGTTTTGTGTTTGCTTTTTTAGGAGGAGCTTGGAAGAAGGTACTTAAAGTTAATCAGTAACGTGTATTCAGCTTATAAGTTACAATGTGTACACTTAAAACACCGTACGTTTATCATTAGACTAGAGAAAACTTTACAAGTCGGAAGATGATAATATTATTGGTAACCAACTTGAACTAACTTTCAACCTACTTCTTCCCAAAACATTAAAACAGTGAAAAAGTCTTAGACCTGAACGGAAATAATTTTCTAATTTTTTCGTGGTCCTTTTCTTCCTCCCGAAACGTCGCCTTCCCCAACACTCTACTCAGTTCCTTGTGCAGCAAACACATACACTAGTTTTCATGTGGTTTGAGTGGTCACGGATACCAAATTTGTTTGGATTGCTTGTTTCCGTCGGAAAATATTATCGTTTTCCGTGATCACATTTTTTCCTCACATATATCAAATCGCTACAGTAATTTTTTCATGAAAAATGACAGAAAATGCAATCCAAACACAATCTATGGTCTGTTTGGATTAGCTGTTTTTGGGGTTGTTTTTAAAAAACAGCACTGTAGCATTTCGTTTTTCAAATACAAATCCGTTTGGATTAGTTGTTTTTGGAGTTGTTTTTCAAAAATTATATAAAAAACTTTTACTGTAGATGTTTTATGGATTATTTTTAGATGTATTTTTAAAACATATTTTCGAGTATTTTTATAATTTTATAACAATATATAATTATACATTTATAAATATTTATAAATAAATAAATTTATATAAAAATATATAAATATATAAATGTATTATATTATATATAATACATAATATAAATATATTTATAAATGTATAAATTATAAATGAATATTATATAAATGTATAAATTATAAATTATAATTTTTATATTTTTATATTTATATACATTGATGCATTTATAATACATTTATTAATATTTATAAATAAATTTATTTAAATATTTATAAATAAATATATTTGTACTTTTATAAATAAATATATTCATATATTTATATATAAATGTATTATATTATATATAATACATAATATAAATATATTTATAAATGTTTAAATGTATATTACTATAAATATATAAATTATAAATGAATATTATATAAATGTATATTATAATTTATAATTTATAATTTTTATGT